CAAGTTAAACAAAATATACATGTAGCAAACCAAGGTGAGAAGACATGTCTTCTGATTCTTGCCTTGAATTCACAGCACCCAGTTTTCTCTTTTTCAGAATGCCAAATGATCATGTTTAAAAAACAAATGTTAGAGTGCATTTAATTTTGTTGCAGAAGTGAGTGGAACTTTGGAAATAACTATCCATGGTATTTTGCAAAGCAGATTTAGGTGAAGAAGGCTGATGATCAGTTTCCATTTATGTAATTTTGGGGGTGGGATTTCTGCCGAGGTATCAAGGCTTTTTTGAGGTTGTTGGGTTTGTAAGGATACAGCAACAACATGTATTGAGCACTCCCTGAGAGCCTGTATTCTCTGCTTTGCATGGTACTTGTTTTGACTGTTCTCAGAACCCAGCCCTCCTTTTTAAAAAGAAGACACAGAGCAGCGCTTATGAGTGTTATTTATTCAGAGTCTGGTTGATTTCCTCATAGGGATCCTGATTATGCTGGGCTGACTTTTTAAAGTTCTCTGTGGTTTCAGACTTTCCTCATGTGACCTGATTTAAATCCTAAAGTACTCTCCACATGGGGAAAGCTCTAGCCTGCTGATTAAGAAGAATCTAGAATGTGGATATTGTGGAAGAGACCAAAAAAAAAGAGTCTATAGTAAGTAAGGAGATGCATTCAAAGGCTTAGCAGTTTTTGTCTATATTCTCTGATTTATTTAATGAATCTTAAACATTACCAGAAGCACGTGGATTCAGAGCCTGAGGAAGGCAAAAAGGTGAGTAATAGAGGAAAAAGCAGGGTAAACTGAAGACTTGAGTCACTGTGTTTCTACGCTGGCTGTCAAAGGCCTCTGCATCTGTCATTACTATTTGTGAGATGATGGGAAAGGCAGAGGCTGTGCTCTGAATGAATAATAGTGGGTTGTTAATTCTCTTTTAAATTCTTTCTTTGAAGATGAGTCTCCCAACTCTTTACTTATCTAGCGTCTTAGTGAAGGACCATGAGGAATACTTGATCCCTTTGTCTTATTTTAGTTTCATGAGAGCCTTTATTACAAACGAGTATTTATCATCCTACCTTCCTAAGGTCCCAACTTTCTACACCACCCTTCAAAAAAATCAAGCAGCTATCAACACTGGCCAGAAGGCCCACTGGACTATGAATTCAGAGCCTTGCCCAGGACAGGGGTTATAATTCTCCCATTTGGTTAGAAGACAACTAAAATTGGTCTAAGGCAATGGTTCTCAACTTTCCTAATGCCATGACCTTTAATACAGTTCCTCATGTTGTGGTGACCCCCAACCATAAAATTATTTTCGTTACTACTTTGTAATTGTAATTTTGCTACTGTTATGAAACATAATGTAAATATCTGATATGCAGGATGTATTTTCATTGTTACAAAGGGGTTGTGACCCGCAGGTTGAGAACCATTGGTCTAAGGTGAAGATTACCAAAGGAAGATTTGGTCAAGTCTGTGAAAGGCCTGGTTTCAATTCTTTTCTTCTGACTTTATGTGTGTGTTGGTAGAAGACAGCTGAAGTCTCCCCTGTTACTCCCAGCTTAGGCCGCCTGCCCTGACCCCATGGCTGGAGGAGCAGCAGAACCCCACTTGCCCTTGTCCCAGGGGACTGTACTTTCAGGAAATGGGCAGAGTGAACAGACCGCAGCTGGTGGGAACATGAGAATGGATCTCCAGGGTCTTTTAAAAAGGCCCTGAATTGAGCTCTGTCTCATGTGCTCACACAGTGAAAAACAGGCTGGCAGCAGGCCTGGATAATGGCGAGATGGGGGGCTGCTTCTTGCTTTTTTTGCCGAGGTCTTCTCCATAGCCTGTGGCCCATCTGTTGCTTTGCCCTTCAGTTTCAGTGCTGTTTTTAACCTTGACAAAGTCAAGATTTGGTCTTCTGGCTGTTTTGGCCTCTCCTCTCTTAACTGGTTTTCTGTCCCTGTATTGTTTGAGGTTGTTACTGACTTATGTGACATCCATCCAGTGAGCCTGTAAGGGAACAGGGGCCGGTGGTAGGGAACAGAGGGCCATCCCCTCTGCCTAAGAACCAACGTTTTCCCTACTTGTGTATAGGTGGGCATATGTCAAATGTATTTTTGAAGGAAAAAATATACATGCTAGGATTTCTTCGTCTTCTTTATTGCTGGGTAAATGAAGAAATGCATAGTTTTATTTGTTTTTCAGCAATAAAGCTTTCTTAATTATAGTGGGAAGTGTTAATTATAGTGGGAGAGCAAAGTGTATTTGGCTGAACTACACCAACAAGGAACAGTGTAGGTGGAATAACAAGTTTCTTTGGTCTTGTGGGTATCTTATCAATGGCTCACTTGTACTCAAAAGCAGCACAAGTATATTTATGGAAAAATATGAGTGTGAACTTAGATTTTTTTATGAGATAGCTATAGAAATGAATGTAGATATAAAAATGTGTTATTTACAGGACTGAAAATTAAGTTTGAGAGCTCATCCTTGAAAAAGTGCTGCATCTCTCATTAATGAATATCGCTCTGGTCACCCTTGAAGGATCAAGATGCTTTATCTCACCCAGATCTCTCCCAAATCACCTAGTGTCCCCCATCTCAATACATGAGTCATCCTCATTGTCCTGGATTCTGGATTTAGACTGCTGGCATGTAAATCAGGACCCACTATTTACAGCTGGGTAACCTTGGACACAGTATTTGCCCACTCACTGCCTCCTTTTTCTACCTATGAGACAGGGGAGATGGTAGAGCCCATATTGTTCTGAGCATCAAATGAGATATTCCATGTTTCACATTAGAACAGTGCCCTGGGCTCGGCGCCTATAGCTCAACCGGCTAAGGCGCCAGCCACGTACACCTAAGGTGGCAGGTTCGAATCCCCAGCCCAGACCCGCCAAACAACAATGACGGCTGCAACCAAAAAATAGCCAGGTGCTGTGGCGGGCGCCTGTGGTTCCAGCTACTTGGGAGGCAGAGGCAGGAGACTCGCTTGAGCCCAGGAGTTGGAGGTTGCTGTGAGCTGTAATGCCACGGCACTCTACCCAGGGGGACAGCTTGAGGCTCTGAAAAAAAAAAAAAAAAAAAAGAACAGTGCCCTGGCCTGAGTAAGTGGTTAGTTAATGTTATCCATTTTCCATAGTAATTATCCTTGATTGCTCTCTTCCCTTCATTCTTTAAAGCTGGTTTATCAGAAAATTACATACTGTCTTCCAGTAAAAATATATTCTCAGTTCAGCCATTTTCCCCTGTGTCCATTGCCGTCACCTTCCTCTAAGCTCACAGCCTCATCTGGACTTCTCACTGGTGTCTCTGGTCCCTCTTGTCTCACTCCAGTCCATTTTACATATAACAACCATATGATCTTTTGAAAGTGTAAGTGAATTCCTGTATCACATAACACCCTTGAGTGGCTTCCCATCAAACTGATCAAAATGCTACGTACGTCCTTTCCTTGAGCTACATATTCTGTGTATTTGCCCCTCTGTCCTCCTTGCAAGCCTCCTCCCTGCCTGTTCACCCACTCTTCTGTGGCACCTTGGTTTTCTCTCAGTGATCTGAGCAGGCTAGATCACTTCTAGCCTTCTGTATGTATATGGCACTCCCTCTGCTTGGTTGAATACTCTATCCTTCCCCAGCCTCTCATCCCTCCCATCCCTGCAGGTTCCTCAGAGAGCCTTCCCTAACCACCCTACCTAAATTAGGGTACCTATTGTGGGAGCCCCTGGGCCAAGTTCCTCTTTACCAGTCTGAAGCTTTCCACGTAATCAAAAAATTAATATTTCCTCTCTGTTGGGGAAAAGATAATTAACAACCTGTGGCTATCAAGCATATCACATCAGGAGGATTGTGCACCTTTTTCAGAAAGATAAATTTTATACTTTGTGAACATAAAGTGACTGTGGAGCTATTTTAAGAAATTGCTCTCTGAAAATTGCTCAAGCTAGCTCTTTATATTGGCATTGAAGAACAAAGGAGGGCCCGCCCACTGAACCTGTGTATGGTGGGGTGATGGAGTTTTGATTGGGTCTTCTCACTCCTGTCAGTCATTTCTGCTTCAAAGGAAATAATAGAAGTCATAAAATTTTTCTCTTTGAACTAGTTACTTGGTTGTTGATAAAACCTTTCATGCTTCTCTCCTTCTCTCCCCCGGAGTTAATGGTCAGTCACTGTTCAGACATGAGAAAAGAAGATGTCTCATAATCAGTGGGTAGAATCCAGGGTGAGTAATGACTGGATCCTGGTTAATGTTTGAGTTCAGAGTAAAGAGGCTGAAAAAGGACTCCTTGTTGGTCTCAGTCAAATTTCTGTGTGTTTTGAAATTTCTTTCCTGCTATGTATTTTTAATTGGTGGTAGGCCAGAGAAGGGGGCCACTGCTGATATTTGACAATTGCCTACAGTAGCCAGAAAGGAGGTGTTCAGGATTCAGAATCGTGATGGGTACCGCTTTCACTGTTGCCGCTATAGTTTTTCTTTCAAATAAGGAACTTTTAGGAATTACAAAGGACACTGAACTTTTGTTCCATGTCCTGTTTGGCTGAATGGCATTCATGATGATATCAAAACGAGATGTCTTGGGGAGAAAGATTACTTCTTTTCTTGATCTCCTCTAACAGAACCCACACAAATAATCTTGGTACAGACAGTGGGTAATGATAATCACTTAGGACATGATGCATTTAAAAATAAAATAATTTTCTAATTGTACAAAAATAACATAAGCTTAATTTTTCAAAAACCCACCATAATTCTGCCTCCAAATCAAGCTAAACTTTTTATGTTTTTTTGATTTCCCTAGAGATGTGTACACACAGGTATATATTTTTCCCTAGTTACAATCATGCAGTGATAATTTTGCATTCTGCTTTTCACTGTGTTATATTTTTCGTGTTTCATTTTGAATGGCTATATAGCATGCCAGCAGGTATGTATGTCATAATTGCTTGACCATTACTCTGTTGAATAATTTGTCTTATGATATATTTTAATGATGTCTTTGTTTTGTTCTAATTTTGCAGGCAGAGACATTTGTTTGGGTTAACAATGCGTCTGCACATTCCCAGAGTGTTGCCAAGGCCAAATATGAATTTTTATTTGGCAGACCTGAAGAGAAAACTCCAGATACCAGTAAGTGTTTTCCAACTCCCCTCCATCAGGTAAAAGATACAAGGTGTTCTGATTTCCGTGTACTTTTTCTCTGCCTACATTACTTCCTTCTTACCTTTGTGAAACCTGTTTGCTCTAATTATTCATCAAAGCAGTTTTCCAAGATGTAGAATTCAGAAATACTGCATGCAGTCCTCGAAGCCTACTTTTGCTAATTTCAAGTCATGTTCTTGGTTTAAGGAGTTCTTGGGTTTTGATATTTGAAATTGCAAGAATTTATTAATTCTTATAAGAGTTGTCTATGTCCACCATTGTTCATGTGTTGACTAATTTATTTTTGGTGCTTATTTTTAGCTATCAACATATATTATTAGGCAACATGGATTCACTACTTTTCAGATGGGGAATACAGATGATACTCACCCAAAGACTGCTTAACACTCTTTAGCACAACCTGAACTTTGAATGCTATATTGTCATTTTGTGCTGATTATGGTTTTCTTTTTTACTTCATTAAAACTAATTTTTACTTTACTACATAGAGATAATATCAAATGGCTGGTTAGTTTATTGTCCTATTGGTAAATGAGTCTGGTTCTTCCTTTCTCGTGGGTTTTGAATAGTTTTCCCTGGATTCTCAGCTCAGATGACTTTTTAAATCTTCTCTTTCTTATTTGCCTTGGTTAAATGGTTGGTGGGGTATGTGTTCCTGGTATGATATTTTGCAGATGTTGAAGTGTGCATGCATTTATTGAACCTGTATATTTAATGAGCACTTACTATGTGCTAGTCACTTGTGTTGCACATAATAAGGCTTCTTACTAAAGTATCCCAAGAATGGAGAAGCAAGAATTCAGTGTACTCTAGTATTAAATCTAGAGTACTAGAGTACTAGAATGTACTCTAGTATTGAGTACATTGAATTAGTACTAATTTAGTAGACATTTAATATACACCCACATAAGGTGGGGTCAGGGAACGAGGGAGCTAGAAGAGGGGAGGAGGTAGGGGGATGGATGTGCTCCGACTTAATGGGCACAATATAGGGGTGTATGGCACACCTCTTAGGGGTAGGACATATTTATAAGAAGATCACTACCTAACAAATGGAAATACTGTAACTTAATTCTTTGTACCCTCAAATTAACCTGAAACAATAACCTAACAATAACAATAAATAAATACTTTTTTTTTTTTAAAAAAGAGAAACAACACGTCTCCAAATGAGTAGGGCTGGTAAGGAATGATCACTTGTAGCTGTGTTGGTGATGACTTTGTAGAGAAGGTAGAAGTTGAACTTGGTCTTAAAGGATGGCTAAAATTTTGATTAATAGAGTTTTATGGGGAGAGCATTTAAAACTGAGAGAATGATATGAGTAAGGCTGTAGAGACAGAAAATATGAAATTTTTGAGGAACTGGGAGGAGACTAGCATGGTTGGTTTGCAGGCACCATCAGTGAGAGATTAAGTTCAGAAAGATTACTATTTAGAAAGAGGCCGTATTATATAGGGGCTTCTAAGGCAGGGCCAAGATTCGCATTTGTGCAGGTGAAGACAGGGAGGAAGTGATTGAAATACTATTTTAGATAGACAAATCAAGAGGGATTGATCTGGAAGTTCCAGGAGCAGCAGAGCCTATTGCTTCCTGCAGAAGGCGTGTTAAGATGCAAGTTTATATATAATTTTGGAAGGTACCCTTTGCATCTTCTTGAAGAAATGGGGTACATTTTCACCATTTCTTTTTCTTTTCTTTTCTTTTTTTTCTTTTTTTGAGACAGAGTCTTACTTTGTCATCCTTGGTAGATTGTCATGGTGTCATAACTCACAGCAACTTCAAACTCTTGGGCTCAAGCAATCCTCTTGCCCCAGCCTCCCAAGTAGCTGGGACTACAGAGCCCCCCCCCCCAATATCTCCACAACACCTGGCTATTTTTAGAGATGGGGTTTCACTCTCACTCAGGCTGGTCTTGAACTTCTGAGCTCAGGTGATCCATCACCTGGCCTCCTGGAGTGCTAGGATTACAGGTGTGAGCCACCACGCCCGGCCCATTTTCACCATTTCAAAAGTGTTTTTGAAATTCCTTTCTATAGAACATTTATCTGTCATTAAACACACAACTCAAAACTCAGAAGATCATAGGGAAAGATAGTGGAGAGAATATGGCAGTGTTTCTATTTGAATTTGATTGATAGACATACGTCTTCCAATATAGAGTTTTAAAAAGTGGGTTAAATAAGTACCAGAAGCTGTCAACAGACTGACTGTTTACTGTTTCTCTGTGAGGTGTTTGTCTGTTTCTGCAACTACCATACTCTTTCTTGATATACTGACTTAAAATAAGTGCTCCAGAAATAATCTCTCGGAGAAATGGAAATATTGAAAGTGACTTTTGAATGCGTCCCCTGAAATGCACAGGTGACACTAGACACTACTTCAGGTATGGTAACTTAGTAATGGTATGGCCAGGCAGGGTCTTTGATTTGTGATCCTCAGTTATATCTAAGCATAGCATCACTGCTGTAGGGAGAGAGGGCTTATACTTGGCCTCTAAGCAGTGATTTAATGTGGGTTGTCAGTGGGAAGAATTTCTAGAGAAGAAAATTCAAGATTATTTCCAATCTCAGTTGTTTAGTACAGGGCTTTGAAATCAGTGACAAGAGCTTAGAGTATTGGCTGGGGTATGGGAACATGTGATCAGAGGGAAGACTCCCTTGGCTGGGAATTCAGATCTGGAACACTCATGATCAATATGGTAACAGGAAAGAGATAACCATGTTTGTCCGGTTTCTTTGTTCCTTGGTCCTTTCTAGGAGCTGTCCCAACTTTCAGGAGCTTTTTAAAGGCAAGAGCAGAAGTTGGTAATTGTTAAGAGGCTCTGGGCTAAAGGAATACGTGTGGCATCAGTTGTGCTGTGACTTTGGTGAGGAGGCAGCAGGTCCCCAGAAGTAGGTGACTGCTGTGTAGCTAACCCGGCCCACAGTCATTTGGGGCTGTGTGGCTGTGCCCCCTGGACGTCTTACTCACCATGTCACTTCTCACTGCATTGCTGTGCATAGTAAGATGACTGACCTGGCTTTTCTAAACTAGCCCAGTGGAGTACACTGTGGCAGGAGGGACGTTCTTTGAAGAATTCCAAGTGGCACTAAATGGCCAGGGTCAACTGGCCAGTTTCTCTCTCTCTCTCTTTTTTGGTCAAAATCCAGAAGAAAGGAATGTTGAGGAAATCTTTAAGAAGAAGACTTTCACCTTCAATTTCTAGGGAGAGCAAGTGACTTATGGAAGTGTGTGGGGAAGTGAAAGTGCCTACAAGATGTTAAGATGGGGAGCCAACCTGTCATTGAAATCTCACTTCTACCTTCTCTACTGATTTCTGAACTTTGTGAGATAAGCAGGTGAGGAAAATGAGCTTCAGAGATATTAAAGAACAAGTCCAAGAGCATCGTTTAGATGCTTTAGAATCAGTTAAAAATCCGGTCTCTCTGGTTTGTAAGAGTCTGGGCTTTGATGCAGTCCTGTTATTGGGTGCAGTGATTGGAAGTTAGTTGATGTGATGAGGCAGATAGATGCCCTCAGGGGCCACTGAGTTTGGGGAATCGCAGTACTTCATAAATGGTCCTAAACTTGCCTTTTGGAGTTGGTGAGTTTTTGAAACTTGTAGACTGTCAGCAACTGGCTGAAGCAGCCTCCTGTTTCTTCCCATTTACTGAACATAGAGTGCTGGCGGCAGCAAAGCATGGCCAGGAGCCATGTGTGATGGCCACGTTACTCAGTTCCCTCAGTTTCTTCATCTGTAAAATTAGAGTAATGGTCGTATTCTCTTCACAGAGTTGTAGTGGAAATCAAATCAGATCGTACCCCACTGGAAACCAGCTTATATAATCAAACTAACAGAATATTTATGTTGGAAGGAACAATAGAAATCAACTTGGCATTTTATGGTTGAGGAAATGGAAGACTTCAGAGAGTGAATTATCTTGCCCAAACTCTTTGGCAAGTTTGAGACCGTCATCTGGATTTCTTGGTTCTGAATCACGTGTTTGATATTTTATACTGCCTGCTCCCATAGAAAAATAGACTCTCAGATTAGAAAGACTTCAAAGTCATCTGATCTTACCCCTGAGAGATATTTGCTATAAATGGTTGTGTTGTTAGAATAGTATCTAAGATTAGAATAAATAGGCTTTGAGGGAGGCCTTCAGGGACTCTTCTGTTGAGTAAGATACTTGATTTCTAAAGGAAAAAGGAAGAGAACTATTTTCCCAAGGCCCCCCTCCTACTTTCACCTGAGCTGTTCAGAACCATCATTAAAAGGCCATTAAAAGGCAAGAGTTGGGTGGGGGGCGAGAGGAAATGTGTTATAATTTTAAGTTTCTATCGTTATTGTGTAGTGAGAATTTAGCCACTTGAAGCCTCTGACTAATTTTCCAGATAGCAGATCTGCCGAAACTTTATGAAAATGTTAGTTCTTTTTAGTAAGAGCTCATTCTAAATTGTACCATATGAGCAAATTTTGCCTTTGTGTGATTTATGGTCTTAAGTATGAATAGGCAAGATGCTCACTGGACTTAGATATAAATAAATTCTGAACAATATGATTTTTAAAAAGGATTTCAGGTCAGTTTTTATTTTAAATTACCTATTTTGGTTTTAAAGGTAGAGTGAAGTGTTTATAGATATGTGACTCCTTATATTATAATATGTTTCTTTTCAGCAAAATTAACTAGATCAGGGTTTCTCAACACTTTGACTCTTGCTATTCTGTGTTAACTATCCAAGAAGGAAGGGACTTGTGTCTAGAGAACTCTTATACCTCAAGGACAAGAAAAGGAAACCACCCAATTTTAAAAAATGGGCAAAAGATTTGAAGGACACTTCCCAGAGCAGATATATGGATGGCATGTAAATACATGAAAAGATGCCCAACATTATTAGTCATTAGGGAAATGGAAATTAAAATCACAATGAGATACTACCGCATTTCCACTAGAATGGCTAAAATTAAAAAGATTGGCCATAGTAG